TGAATAAAAGTGGTGAGAGAGTGGGTATCCTTGTCCAGTTCCTGATCCTGAAAGCTTTTCCTCTAAGCTGAACGCTTTTCACCGTGGAATATGTTAGCTGTGGGCTTGTCCTGTAAAGCCTTATTATGTTATAGAGAATATATGGGTATAGGAAAAGGAACGTATAGGTACATTCCCTTTATACTCACTTTGTTAAAAGCTTTTTATTATAACTGGATGTTGAATTTTGTCAAATGCTTTTTCTGCATATATTTTAGCCTGATTTCATTGATGTGGTGTAGCATTGGTTGACTTGCAGATGTCAAACCATCTTTGCCTTCCTAGAATAAATTCCAATCAGTCACAGTATATGATCCTTTTAGCGCATTATTAAAATCGGTTTGCAAACGTTTTAAGGATTTTTGCATATATGTTGACTAGGGATATTGCCCTGTAATTTTCTTATGGTGTCTTTGTCTTATGGGGTTATGCTGGCCTCATATTTGCTTGTGTTTTATCAATTTGTCTGGTTGTTGGGAGAGGTGCAATAAAATCTTCAAGTGCAATTGCTAATTTATTGGTTTACTTTCCTCTTTGGCCTGTCAGCATTTCAGGACTGATGGGCTGGAGCAAGTTGTATGTATGTATGTATGAAATTATTCACTTATTTGTTTTAATGTTTTTTATTTATTTCTGAGAAAGAGAGAGAGCGAGCAAGCCAGGGGAGGGTCAGAGAGAGAGGGAGATACAGAATCCGAAGCAGGCTCCAGGCTCTGAGCTGGCTGTCAGCACAGAGCCCGATGCAGGGCTGGAACCTGCGAACTGTGAGATCATGACCTGAGCCAAAGTCGGACACTTAACTGACTGAGCCACCCAGTTGCCCCTGGAGCAAGTTGTTTTGGATAAGCCCCTAAAATTTCCAGTGCCCTCCTCTCTTAGGGGCTAATTTTTGTTTATACTAAACTCATGCTCTCTCTGGTCTGTCCGTTCTTCTGTTGGTCGGTCAGCATCTTGTGTTCCTTTTGGTGGACCAGCTCTTCTGGGGTCTGTTTTTCTCCCGTGGATTTATTCCTTTGGACTCTAAGCTCCACTGCTGTTAACATGTATCTGAGGGAAGCAACATGTATCTGGGAAAGCCCAGAATTTAGCTTCGTGATTCTTAAAAGCATTTTTAAAAATGTTTATTTTTGAGACAGAGAAAGAGACAGAGTGTGAGTGGGGGAGAGGCAGAGAAAGAGAGAGAATCTGAATCAGGCTCCAGGCTTCTGAGCTGTCAGCATAGAGCCCGATGCAGGGCTTGAACTGAGTTCATGACCTGAGCCAAAGTCAGCCACTTAACCAACTGAGCCACCCAGGTGCCCCACTTGGTGATTCTTAATCTCGACTGCACATTGGCATCACCTGGGGAGAATGAAAAATGATGGACTCATGGATCCCTCTTCCAGGGATTCTGATTTCACCAATCTGAGTGTGGTCTGGGCACAGGAAGTCTTAAAAACTCTCTAGAAGGTTCCATTGTGCAGTTAAGGTTGTGAATCCTGTGCCCCTTCCAGAGAAGGAGGGAGTGGGGACTGATGTGCCTTGACTGTTCAGCTGTGCCCACGTCCTTCTGTGTGCCCTTCCCCTTCAGGAGACCCAGACCCAAAGGGAAAGGGCCAAGACCCTTGCCCAGCACCACTTTTCCCAAGACCTGTGTCTCTGGTTGCATTTACCTGGCACAAGGTGTGGGGAGGAGGAGGAAGGAGCTTAAGGCGTCAGCCAAGCCGCTGTTTTGGTAGCGAAAGGATGACACGAGCCACCCAGGGCGTGCGTGTGTGCGTGCGTGCGTGTGTGTGTGTGTGTGTAGAGGAACAGCACAGCCGGCAAATTGCCCCCCCCCCACCCATCTCCTGTGCCGTGGGCCGTCCTGCCCTCTGAGGTTTAGCGTTGGCTCCCGTGATCCACTGATCTTGCTTTTTCCGGCTGCCCCTTGTGTTGGGCTTGAGGGGAGAACTAGCAGCGCATGGCCGCGCACCCGCCTGCCGCGCCCCCATCGTGGGTCTTGCTGGGTGCGCTGTGGCTTCAGAGACAGGCCGGCTGAGGGCCCAGGTCTCTTGTCTCTGGTCACTTTGGGGTCCAGGGTCGGGACTTGTCAGGGAGGGCCGCTGCTGGCCGTCACAGGCCTTGGGCTGGTCACGAGCCTCGCGGCAAGGGCCCCTGGGGCCCGTTCTCCCTGGGCGGCTCAGCAGTGGCGTCCAGCCCGCCTGCCACCCTCCCCGCTCTGAGGAAGTTAGTCAGTGAGCATTTGCTCTTGCCTGTCTTTATTCAAGGCCTGTGCTAGTTTGGAGGAAGGTGTCAACAAATGAGACCTGTTCCCCTTCCTTCAGGAACAGATCGTCTAATGGAGGGATTGGGGGGAGGCTGCAGTGTTGCCCAGGGGTCAGTGGTTCCGGAGTGCAAGGTAGGGAGTGGCTTCAAGGGGGGGGGAAGCTTTGCCTCCAGGGGGTCAAGCAGGACATCACAGAGGTGGTGTCTAAGCAGAGTCTTAGATGATGAACAAGACTTGACCAGGCAGAAAAATGAGGGAAAAGCTTCCTAGGTAGGGGGAACAGCATATGCAAAGGCAAAGGAAGTACAGAGTTTAGGGTGTGAAGAACCAGGAAAAATCCACTAGGGAGGTTTGCAGGAGAGGCTGGGACAAGAGGCAGGGTCAGACCCGGAAGGATGGTGTTGGGGAACCAGAGGGACTCCGATTTCATTCCTGGGGGAGGGGTGAAGCATTGTAAGCGGAGGCATCGCTTTAGATGGCTGTGAGGAAGATGGCTGGGAGGGGAAGATGCCGGGGGCAGGGGACCGGCTAAGGGGCTCACGCTGTAATCCAGGTGAAAAGTGTCAAGGGGCCGAATTTAAAAAGGAGTAGCAAGAAGAGAAAATGGTGGCAGAGTTTGCACGTGTAGAGGGGAGAGCTGAACACAGGCAGCTCCGGGGCGGGGGCGGGGGGGGGGTGCAGCTCTGTGGGAGATGGTGGGGCCTGTTCCAGGACTAGGAGGCAGGAGAAGGGGAGTAGTTTTGGGCTTGTGGGGGAGACGGTAGGCTCTGCTTGGGATGTGCCGAGGTCAAGGTGCACCACCCAGTGGGGCCTTCCAGGTCGGGCAGACAACAGAGCTAAGCACAGTTAAAGACCCGGGCTGCCCGGCGGCCTGGAGGATGCAGAAAGGGAGGGAAAGGTCAGGGTGGGGCTCGGGGCTTGGGGAGCCCAAGCTTTAGGGATGAGCCAGGGTGGCTAGGAAACAACCAAAACCGGCAGAAGCAGGGGGAGAGGTGGGAGAGACACAGCAGGGGGCGGGGGGGACGGACCCCAGGTGGGGACCTCTGTGGTGTTGGGTCACTGCTGACTCCCTGGTGGCAGGCTCAGGGTCTACATGTGGAAGGTGCTCTTACACCATGGTTTGAGAGAACAGATGGACAGACAGATGGATGAACGCTGCTCCACCTGCCTCAGCGTCTTCTCCCCGTGGCCCAGAGCTGCTGCTGGAGTGCTTTTCCGTCTCCCCTGGAAGAGGTGCCACTCCTCCCCCACAGGCTCGGGCTCCCTGTAGCAGACCTGTCAAGGGTCTAAATAAGTTAGATCTGCTCCTGACACTTTGTGATCACACACCCCCTCGGCTCCCCCCCTCAGGCCAGAGCTGCCGGGGGCAGAAAGAGTCACCTGACTGGGGCTGGCCAATCAGAGTTTGTCCTGGTATGCGTGCTGGTGTACAGGGCACATGAGGAGGGCCTGAGTGGGAGAGAGCTAAAAGTAGATGCTCGGATGAGGCAGAAACAGGTGCTGCCTGGCTGTATCCTGCTTTCGGCTTCAAGTTTCCGGGTCTGGCCACTAACCCTGCCCCGGCCTAGGCTGTTGGGTGTAGGTGTTGGTTTCTTGCTGCCCTGAGGCCTGTGAGCTGCCACCACCTGGCTCTGGGGAATCCCTTTATGTGTCAGTCTGAGCGGTGCAGGAGGCGTCCTGCAAATGGATTATGTCCTGGATGTCAGAGGCCACCACATGAACTGCCTTGGTGACTCAGTACGAGGCCATGGGTGGCAACACAGAGCCCTGGCCCCAAAGAGAAATCTGGCATGTCCTGCGGTTTCTGCTTGTGCTCAGTGCCCTGCGGACATCTCTGTCCCATCTTCCCAGGGTGAGCCGCGAGGGACGCACGGTCTCATTCTGTAGGTGCTGGGTAACCAGGGATGTCCGCGTGGTCAGGATGCGGCCACGCCAGAATCTGAATCCAGCTCTTCAAACTCCATGTTGAGTGCTCCTTGTGGGTTTCTCATGGAATTCTCTGGGCTGCTTTTCCTCACTCTTGAGAGTTGCCAGAGGTGGGGGTTGTAGGCTGGAGGCACGGACCCTTGGGGGGCTCTCATGGTCCTAATGAGAGCTGAGTTAAAGGTGGCCCCATTCTGAGTCTGGCATGAACAGGGATGGAGGCAGGGACAGCTGAGATCGTCACGTCAAGCTCAAAAATGCAGAGGTCACTTCCAAAGGAGACAGAGCTTCGATAGTGAGATCTGAACTGATGGCCTTCACGCGAACCCTGGGCTGTGTCCTGCGGGCCTCCGGTCCCTTCCCCGGCATTCGGAGTGCGTCTTGCAAGCAGGTGGGCCGTCAGACCGAAACCGTGGGGACTACGTGTCCTCAAGCATCCTGGCTGCTCGAACCCTGTGCAGACGGGGCCCCGGGCAAGCTGCACAGGAAAGGGCATCTTTGCTGGCGGCCTGTTGAGGTGCGTGGGTTTTACATGCTTTTGTGCAATTGGGGTTTTTGCCTTCGAGGGCAGGGCTTTCTAGGCCCTCCTGGATTCCTCGGGTTTGTAACCAGGCCTCTAAACTAAAGGGGCAGAGAAGCCCACCACTCCTTTGTAGAGGCTGGGAAGGCTGGGGTGGCTGTCAGTCCCCCAGGCGGCATCTAGGAGGAGCCAGGGGAGGATGCAGAGCCCTGAGCCTCCCCCATGGGCACTGACTTCGCTCCAGCAGCGCGCCACAGCAGCAAGCCAGGAAAAGGTTAAAACAAACGTTTATTTAACAAATTATATTAAGACAGACAATCACACAGTGTAACTTCCCTTCGCCAAATACGAGAGTCACCTCAAATAAATACAGGAAGGACGTGGTCCCCGTGGCAAGAGCGCAGTGGCCTGGCCGAGGCCCGTGTCACAGGGCAGCTCGCAGCCTCTTGCTGGGAGGACAGAAGCCCTGTCTTATGGTGGTGACAGCCGCTGTGGAGGCACTGGGCACAGGCACAGGCAGAGAAAGGGGCCGACCCGGTGGGGGGCGGGGCGGGCACCCGGCTCCAGGCCCCGGCTGATTGGGAACCGAGGCAGTGCCCGGCTGTGCACCCCTTGCGGGCACGCGGCTATGTCCAGGCCCTGCTTGGCCCTCGGGGCCCCAGGGGAGCCCTCGTCTGGGTGGGGCGAGCGGGCAGGTGGGGTTGCGCCCCTCGCCGAGCACCGTGGCGCAGTGGGGTGGTGACACTGTCACGCTCGGAGCAGCATGGCTGGTGGCGCTGGAAGTCCTTTACTGGACGATGACTGGTCGCCACCGATTCATGTCTACCCAGGAGCAACTAACAGCCACTTCTGGGTACTTGTTTTTCGAGGGGGAAAAACAGGAGAAAATGTGCTTAAAGAGGAGAAATGTGCTAGTGCTTGGCCAGGAGCAGGTGCTTAGTACGTGTTAGTCCTTGTTCCTCCCGCACTGCCTTTCAGAACAACACAGGGCGGGGGGGGGGGGGGGGGGGGGGGCAGGTAAATGTCAGGGGCTTCTGGTGCAGGGTCAGAACTTCCGGTAAGGAAGCTGGGGCAGGCGGGGCATCAACCTGGTTGCAGGTCTCCAGGTGGGAGGGGGTGTGGCCCATATTGGTTCCTGGACTTGGGGCGGGAAAAGCCTTGATAAAAGTTTCCAAATGAACATGGAGCACCCCACCTCCCCTTATTACCATTGTGCCGTCGAGGGTTTAGGAGAGAATGAATTTTCAGAGGGAAGAGAGAAGATGGGGGGAAGCCTGTGCTCTCTGGTTAGTCTCTCGGGGGAGCAGGGGGTGCTGGGTGACCAAGGGCCTGGCCACTGCCCTTCACACGTCTGAGAACCCTTCTTCCCTCCCTACGTGGCCACAGGGTTTGTGAGGCAACACGCCCTTCCAGAAAGAAAAGGTCGCTCTGCCCCAGGGGTGCGCCAGGGTCCAGGCTACCCAGAGGTCTGCACGCACCCTCAGTCTACTGTCACCCCATACTTGCTCGTCCGCCCCCCCACCTCTCACGAGGCAAAAAGGGCTGGGAGCAGCCTAAAATCTACCACAGATGCCAACCTTTCCCTAACACGGTCATTGCCTAAGTGTCCTAATGGTTTAGGGTGACGTTCAGTAACTGTTACACGTAGCTTACGTCTGCCCTGCGGTGGAGGCGGTCACCCCAGCCTGCCTGCCCTCTTCCTGGTGGCCCCGTAGTCCCCGTTCTCTACCCGTCCTGTAAGTGCAGGATGGCCCTGGGCTCGGGAGGACAGCCACCCTCCCTGCCCGGCTCCGCCTCCCACGAGGTCGTCTTTGGGCCCCTGAGAGCTGCCGAAAGCCCTGGCTGTCAGTCAAGGGAGAAGGGCTGCCGGGCGCTACCTGTCAGACGGGAATCTTCCAGTCAGGCCGTGAGCAGAGTGCACAAACCAGGTGAACGGGACACAAGGAATTAGGGTCGCCCCTCTGCTGGGCTTGGGGTCACAGGTCACTCGGCTTCGGACCAGCCACTCATCCAAAAAGCAGCAGGAGGCACAGGTTCTCTGGGCCGCAGGGCTCCTCCAGTTCCCCCGAAACACAACTAGCTTATCTCCGTGGGGACATCTGAGACCGGACCAGAGCTCTCTCCTTCCTGGCTGAGCACCGTAGCCCTTGGCCTCCTGGGCCCAGGGTTTCCACCGGCTGCCGGCATCTTCCTACCTCTTTGCCGGGTGGGAGGCACAGGAAGGCCAGCACCACCAGGGATGTCCTGGGTCTGGGCGAAGGGAGGGAGAGGCGACAGCTTCCCTAATGCACAGGAATCAGGAGGTATCGCCATGAAGATCCAGAGGTGACAGAGCGGGGAGCTGGCAGCAGGCACAGGAGGTATTTTTGCCCTGCCCCCTCTTAGCCGTGACCACCCTCCACACTGTTGGCCAGTCCTTCCCCCCGCCACCACGTGCCATCCCAGGAGCCACATGGAGGCGGGGACCATCCCGGGCTGTGGCTCTCCTGTGCTGCCTTCAGGGTGGGGGAACCTCCCCGCTCTCCATGCCTCCCCCCCACCTCCACCCCTCTGCTCTCCGGTGACTTCTGAGATGAGAGATCCCGACATCCTATGGAATTAAGACCCACCCTAGCGACTGGAGCGGGCAGGCTGTTGAGGGGAGGGCCTGAGCCGCCCGGGGATGGCCCTGTTCTGGCAAACCTGCGTGGAGCTGAACTTGGCAGCTGTGAGAGATGCCAGTGCGGCCACTGGCCAGCCGTGGCAGGAATGTCCGTGCTGGCCCCAGTTTGGTGACCTGGCTCAGACCGACTTTTAAAAAACACTCTTGCTGCTGGCGGAGCCCATCAAGATGCAGCCTGGCTCTGAGAAGCTGGGTGACTGTGTGCCCACGTCCCTCTGCGGCTGGACGCCGGCTCACATGGTCTCTTCCCCGCAGCCCAGGGGGGCGTCTCTGGGTCAGGGCACGGGGCCGAAGCAGCTGGCATGTGGGCACTATGGAGATGAGCCCTTTGGGAGGAACAGGGTGGGTGGTGGGTGAGCACAGTGTCCTGGGTGGCAAAACTCACCTCCGAGCAAGCACCAGGTCCCTCGGCCTCTCGCCCAGAAGGCAAGTCCTCTTTGGGGACAGCCGAGCAGCTGCTCCCCGACCTCCGTGTGTCCAGTGTGTGAACTGGCTGAGTCTGAGGGGTGGCACCGGTGGGGCCTGGGGCCACTCGGGGACCACAGGCGTCCTCCTCCCTTGTGTCCTCTGGGCACATGCTGTCGTCGGTGTGAGGGGCCGGTTCCCCAGCAGCCCCAGGTCTAGGGCACTGGCGGAGTCCTGGAGGGGGCTGAGCGGAGCTGCCACCAGCCTTGGGCTCCCGGGAGGAACGTGCCAGCTGAGTGGCAGGCAACAGTCAGGAGGAGAGAGCCAGCGGGTCACTGGGCAGCTCCGGCACCTGTGCGGGGCCCTCGGGGGACTCCTGCATGGGTGGGGTCGTATGGAGACACGCTAGGAACCGCTGGTCACTATAGCAAACACAGATTAGTTGCGATTATGAACAGTGTCCCCGGGGAGGCGGGGGTGTTCCGTCAGGCAAGCCGATGGCTGAGGAGTAACCACTCAGCTGCCCGGAGTCTCCCAGATGAGCCCCCAGGGGGCGGTGGGGGCAGGAGGGGCTGGACGGGGTACGGCAGGAGGGCTCAGGAGTCTGGCGGCTGCGTCTTCTGTCCGCGGGGTCGGGTGGTGGCCGGGCCTCAGGACTGGGGGACCTGCTGACACCTCGTGGGGCTGGGCGGGAGTCGGGCAGCAGCGCTCTGCTCGGTGCGGAAGCTGTACTCGTACTGCGGGAGGGAGCAGGCAGAGAGGCTGGTCAGCGCGGGGGCGGGGGGGGGGGAGCGAGGCGAAGACATGCAGGAGGCCCCCCATGGGGGCCCAGCACCCCCTTGCTGAGTGTGCGCACAGACCCTCCCTCGTCTTCTGTCGCCACCGGTGGCCGCCTGGTAGTGAGGATGGATTCCTGTGCCAGGGACTGCGGTGCCCAAAGCCAGGTGCTGACCCTGGGCCGGGCTGCCTGCCAGGAGAGGGTCCCGCCAGGTAAACTCCATCCCACAGCTGACCAGGGGCCAGTGACAGTCACAGGGTGCCCTTGACGCTGTGCTGAGCATGGCTGCTGACACAGCGGGAGAGGCAGGGAAGGGGCAGCACCCCACTCGTTCGAGGACCTTCCTGAGCTCCCTGAAGGGTGTGTGACTGTCCTGATTAACTGATCAAAGCCTGCGGCTCCCAGAGGGCAGCGCCCACACCAGCCACCCAGTCTGGGCCGGAGTGGCACCCAGAGGGGCACACCTGTGCTACCTCACACTTAAGACTGAAGCTTACCTGCCCCTCGATCCCGGAAGCATGTATAGATGGGTGGGCTCTGAGTCTAACAGAGACTCAGAGAGCCAAGTACCTCTGCTTGGGAGGTTCCCTCTGAAGGCCCGGTGGGCATCCAAATGTGGGGCTGGCGTGCCAGGCAGAAGAGTGGACACAGGCGAGGAGTGCCCTCCTGCAGACACGAGCCTGCCGGCCAGAGCTACAGGGGTGGGGAGTGGCGTGTGGCCAGCGGCCTGGCCAATTATGTGCCAAAGCTGCTGTGTGGTCCTAGGGGTTTAGGAGTGAGGAGCTTAGATCCAGTCAGTGGTTGTTAAACATTTATTTTTTAAATGTTTATTTTTGAGAGAGCAAGCAGAGGAGGAGCAGAGAGAGAGGGAGGGGGACAGAGGATCTGGAGTAGGTTCCACGCTGACAGCAGAGAGCCCGATGTGGGGCTTGAACTCGAAAACCGTGAGAGCATGGCTGAGCCGAAGTTGGGGCTTAACTGACTGAGCCACCCAGGCGCCCCTGTGAAACATTTTAAATCCTATCTAAAGACTTTTTGGCAGTGGAATTGCCTTAAAAAGGGGCTTCTCTATGTAAAACAGAGGAAAGTGGGGCTACCCTGGTCGAACTTGGCCACCAGCTGAGGCTGTTTCCTCAGGGACATTGCAGGGAGGCAGATAGGAGGCCTGGCCCCCTGCCCCCAAGTGGGCTGCCCACAGCACGGAGAACAGCTAAGCGTGGAGGGCTTTAGGGGTCCGTCAAGAATGAGGGGGCACAGAAGACCTTTGAGGGTTTTCCCTCAAGTAGAAATGGTGGGTGGGCAGAGGCATCCCAGCAGGCCACCCCTGCCTGAGGGCCCCAAGGGCTGAGCCAGGACCGACGGACCACGATCTGCTCTGGCCCCATCCTGTCCCTGTGTGGAATAGCCTCAGCGCCGCAGCCGTGACTGTGGTTCCTACCACAAACACCTGTCACCAGAGGGGTCATAGGGAAGGACTTTGGAGGGTGACCTCAGGCAGATCTCTGCCACTCTCTGAACCTTAGTGAACCTACCTCTAAAGTGGGGTCACATTAAGAAGTAAGTGCTGGGGTGCTTAGGTGGTTCAGTTGGTTGAGCCTGACTCTTGATTTCGGCCCACATCATATCTCACGGTTTGTTGGTTCGAGCCCTGCGTTGGGCCCTGTGCTGATGGCTCAGGGCCTGCTTGGGACTCTCTCCCCGCCATTCTCTCAAAAATAAATTTTAAAAAGAAAAATTGCTGGCGAGGTTGTGGAGAAAAGGGGACCCTTGTGCCCTGCTGGGATCATAAACTGGTGCAGCCACCTCGAGGATCCTCAGATAACTGAACCTAGAACCCCCTCCCCCATCGACTCAGCAGCTCCCCCCAACTCCAGCTCAGCAAGCTCTCCGCACCTCCACGTTCATCGCAGCCTCAGTGAGAGCAGCCAAGCCACAGAGACAGCCTCCGCGTCCTCTGACAGATGAAGATGTGGCGCATATATGCCATAGGACACTACTGAGCCATAAAAAACGAAATCTTGCCATTCGCAACAGCATGGCTGGACCTTGTGGGCATCGTGTGATGTGAAATAAGTCAGAGAAAGACAGATACCACGTGACCTCCCTGTGGAATCTAAAACAAAAACCACCCCATACTTACAAGTATAGAGAACAGATCGGTGCTCCCCAGGGGGAGGGGGTGTGGATGGACAATGGGTGTCAAAAGGTACACATTCCAGTTGTAAAACAAGTCCCGGGGATGTCACCTACAGCATGGTGACTATGGGTAATACTGTGGTGCTTATTTGAAAGTTGCTAAGAATAGATCTTAAAGGTTCCTATCCCAAAAGTTTGGCACCATGGTGACAGATGTTGACTCATGGTGATTATTTTACAATCTATATAAATATGGATCTATTATGTTGTACACCTGAAACTAATGAGCTCCCAGGGCCAGCTGGGAAGACGAGATGAGCACTCGCAGCACATCTGTTGGCTACTTTGGAAAATCTCTTAAAGCAGCTCCAAACCTGCTCACGTTTGGGCTCCCTGGTGACCAGGGCACAGGCCCTGGCTGGACTTCCGCCCCAGGAGGCTGGCCCAGTGGAGCAGCCCCGGACAAGGCCGCCTTTGGAGCAAAGTCTGGTACAATACCGCCACCTGGTGGCTGCTTGGGGGCATCATGACAGGGAAGGTTCCCTCCTTGACTGCATCAGCACCCACCACTTCCTCCCTGTGCTGGGCACTGGGGCCAGAGCATGCGCAGACCAGCACCATTAGCCCAAGGGCAACACAAGAGGAAGGACAGGTTGTGGGAGAACAGGAGTGATTCCTGCCAGTGGCCAAGGGGTAGGGGGGTGCCCAGCGGCACCCAAGGGAAGGAGCACAGCTGGGAAGACGGAATCAGGGAGAAAAGGCTGGGAACTGGGAGTACTCGGGGGGGAAGGACAGCTGGAGTGACACATGTGGAGATGTTTCAAAAGAAGCACACAGGGTCAGAAGATGAGGACAGGCCCTGAACTTGGGGGTAGAGGACTGGGAGGTGTGGTCAGCGAGGAGAGCAGAAGGCAGGCATGAGCGCCAAGGGGCACAGCTGGGGATGGGGTCACAAACAACTAGTGGCCTCAGTAGGAGCTGTTCTGGGTGGATGAAGGTTCCAGAGGTGCGAGTGTGGACTGGTGGGTGTGGCTAGCCCTCAGGGGAGAGGGCACCCAGAGCAAGAGCCATAGCAGGTGGATGAAACTTTAAACACAGAGCGCCCCTGGAGGCCCTGACTCCAGCGTGGAGCCCAAGAGCCTACACTTTCAACACAGTGCCGGGTGACCTGCTGCTGCTGTTCTGGGGACTAGTTCAGGAGGCAGTTCTGTGGCCCAGACAGTGGGATGTGGGAATGGATGTGGGTGCGTGCGGGAGGTCGGGGCTTGGGATGCTGTGGGTGGGACCTCACTCTGGGCCTTCGCTCTGGCTGCTCTGAGGCCGTGCCTGGGCGATGTCTGCCTGGGGCGGCAGGTGGAAGGCACCTCGCAAAGCAGCAGGGAGCCCCGAGTGCACACACTGCCATTTCCGGATTCACAGCCTGCTCACGCCCCGCCCCCCCCCCCCCCCCCCCCCCCCCCCCGGGGGCCAGGGCTCCCGGCACAGCGCACACATAGCCATCCCCCACCCCATTCCTACCCTTGGGAGCTTTCCCTTTTTAGGTTATCTTGGCTGGAGAAAAGCATTACTCCCCCCACGTCTTGTTTTCTCTAACTCCCCAAATGAAATTTCAACATATGTCCCCAGACATAATCCCCCTTAGGCTGCGGATAACCCTTCCCACAGACACGGTCTTCTGCCCGGGACTGCTGGCCCCAAAGTGTTTGCCCAAGAGACTAGGGCCGCTTCTGGAAGGTCTTTCACTCCCTTGGGCAAACAGCAAGTACCTTTGAAGGTGGATTTGGGCCCGGATCTGTTTACTCAAGACATTAGTCTCCTGCATAAGGAAAACCTGCACTCGCGTACAAACAGCAAATCCTTTTTGAATTAAAAAAATTTTCAATTAAAAAGCATTTGGGTTCGCAGAGCTGAGAACCCAGCTGAGCAGCTCTGGATCCTGGCGCCCTCTGGTGGACACAGGCCATCACAGCAGCCGTGCCTGGCGGTCTCTCCGCGAAAGAGATGTCACTGTCACGGTCTCTCTTCGGGGCTTTCCGGGGGCCCAGGGACCGCGTGCCTCTGTCTGGGAGACCCTGCAGTCGAGGCATTGGGCCTCTCTAGCTACCGTGGGAGCGCCCCACCTTCCAAAAGCCTTTTGCCGTCGCAAGGGCATCATCCTGGTAAGTGGGACTTGCCGACCTTGGCTTCCAGCTGCACTGTGGAGGCACAGTCGCTGAGCCCCAGCCTTGCTGGCAGAAAGCAGGCAGTCAAGCCCTCACCAGATCACAAAGGTGTGAGAACCACCAGACAATTTGTGTGAAAGCACCCTGAGAATGAAAAAACCCGTCCTCCTGATGCATCAGAAGCAAGGTTGTTGACCAAAGCCACTGATGCCTAGGCCCCGGGCTGGGGTGGGACGGCTCCGGATCAAATGGGCCGGCCCGGCATCATCAGCGTTTTCCAGAGGCACCAGGAGACCTTACCGGGTAGGCTGTTGGAGAATCACTGCCTGTTTATCTTGACCAAACAGATACAGTCCCCGATTTACGATGTTTCGACTTAGATTTTTTGACTTTAAGAAGGTGCAAAAGTGATACACATTCAGTGGAAACCAGACCTCAGATTTTGAATTTTGGTATTTTCCCAGCCGGCGACGTGCCATACGAAACTGTCTACTGACACCTGGCAGCCATGCGACCACGGGGCTCAATGACAACCGAAACCTGACGGCCATGCTGTCCCTGTACAACCGTCCTGTTCGTCACTTTCAGTGTCGTACTCAACAAATTACAGGAGATTGTCAACATTTTATGGTAACAGGCTTTGCGTCAGATGCTTCTGCCT